TAGACATAGCTAAATGTTCAGAAAGAGGAGGTGTGAGTTCTAAAGGTTAAGATTTGCTGTCCCCCTTGTCCCCACTGACCTCCAAAAGAAGGGTGTTGATTCCTAGAGACAAGTGGGGACTGAGGACTGAGCTGACTTCTTTGTTATTGGACCAAAACGTGATGCCTTTTCTCTAGCTCCAGGCCTTCCCTCCTCAGGATGGTTCCCATCCTCAACCCACATCCAGGAGTGTTCACAGCTACTATGCCCCTGACACCAGAAACCCCAGAGTCGGAGCTACCTCAGTTCTAGTTTCTTCTGTCCACACCCTTTCTCTGAGTGAGTGACTCTAAGGTTGCCCTCCCCATACAAGCATGATCCAATCTGCCTGTAGATGTGAGCTATATTTTATAGAAATCACCAGAAAATCAAACCACTGCCCAAATAAGCCCGAACAGTGTTGCCATATAGTCTCATGTGATCCGGGCAGGATTAGTTTTATTTATTGCTTCTGGCGGGATCCCCTGTTGTTTTGCTGGGCCAAACTCCCTTGTTTGCTGCCATGCCTTGTCCCCATTCTATTTGTATAGGCCTGTTTTAGTCATCTTTGGCTTGATTTGCAGCTTTTATAACCAAGTCCTCATTTGACAAGTGGAGGACCTCAGCAGAGAGATCTAAAGCAAGATCTGTAGAGTCAAGAAACATTAGGAAGGACCAAATGTTGTATACTATTAAATGCTGAGACTGAAAGGCATGAACACTAAAGCCAAAAGCTGGACAGCACAAAAGCCTGTTTCACGTTGTGCTTTAGGACTGTTAGCATCGAGCCTGGAAGCCTGTCAACCTGTAGGAAGTTATGGGACTTGTCTTAAAACTGCCCACTTTCCCATCATGATAAAACAGTGTTTCTCTTCCTGATGAAAACCTTTCAGTGAAAAGAAAATAAACATCAAGAGAATTAATGTTAAAAATGTGAATGACGAAGCATAAATTTTCAAAGCTTCTTTTATATTCCGAAAGGGAGTAATTTTAGAACAGTGTCATGTTCGTTACAGTACCTGTGATGGAAGGACACTCACTGAGTCAGGTGCATAAAAGGACTATTTTCAAAGACAGATATCAAACTGGACAAAGTAAAAAATGTAAACCCATTTCTGTCTGCCATAGTGTTCCTTTTTATTTTGCCGAGTGAACAGCAAGTATGTTTTCCAAGTGGTCCTGAAGCTTTTCAGGAGGACCACTGGCTTGTCTGATTTCTCTGAAGATGCAATGTTACTGTTTTGGGTGGATCTTTTAAGAAAACAGTGAAAACTGTTTAGAAAACAAGTGAAAGGTGATAAATGTAAAAATCCATGCTGGAAATGTATTTATTTTTAATTTTTCGGTGAATAATGCTGCCATGTACAGGGGAGTACATATTTCTTTTCAAATTAATGTGTTTATATTCATTGGATAAATACTCAGAAATGGAATACCTGGATATGGCAGGAATTTAAAAGCAGGGTTTCCAAGCAAAATCTGACCAAGGGTTTCTGTCCCCTTAGGCAACTGACCTATTCCAACTATGGCTGGAATAAATGTTTAGGTAGGAAGGGTAACCCTAGCTGAAGCCAGACTGTCAGAGTGCAGCTGGGGAAGGATAGCTCCAGGGAAGATGAAAACAAAGCACTGGATCAGGGAACCTATGACCTCCCCTTTTGCTGGGAACCACCCTGTTACAGAAGCAAGTAAAAAAGAGATCATTTTGATTGACTGTTAACTACTTGTGGTGGTTATGTGTGTTTGTGGAGGAAAAGCAACATTCCCCTCTCTCACCCAAAAAATGAAACCAAAAAGGAAACACCTTTAAAAATGTGTTCACACAGCACTGCAAGCTGGCCACAGCCGCTTCAGTGTGAGTTCGATCCCCCAGACCCAGAGGTGACCCAATTGGTGCAGCAGACCTCTCCTGACCTGCCCGCTGCTCCCCTGAGCCCTGTGTTTTATCGATCTGCCTGTTCTGCTCCCCACTCTTTCTCTAGTGAAGCCTCTCACCACCCCTGCTCCTCAGCTTGTACCCCAATTAAAATATATGCATAAATAAATAAATCTTAAAAAAAGAATTTGCTTATTATTTAAAAAAATAATGTGTTTACAACTCAATACAGTATGTACCAAAATACCCCAAGTGTGTGAAATTATAAAGGCTTGTACATGTGTAAAGAGCCAGACAAAAAAGCATGCTACTGTGACATTGTTTTACAATAGCAATAAGTATATCATTTAAATAATCACAAAAAAGCAATATATCCATTTTCACCGGGAAAATATTAAAATCTAAAGTAAAAATCTATTTTAATGACTTTTCTTTGGAAGGTGCTGTACCAGGGCATGTATTTGGACAGTGAGCAGATGCTGCCTTTCCCTGAACTTCTGCCTACAGAACTCAGTGCTTACACATCCCTATTAAGGCAAACATGGCAGACAGCACCATTCTAGACATCTCTCGTTAAAATACAGGTTTTTCCAAATGGGTGCAATTTATTAAACTATCATATAAGGTTATCTTCTCTCAAGAAAACTGTTTCCCAAAAAAAGTAACTATAATAAGTTAAAAATCAAAATCAAGAAGCAACTATTGACCTGAGACATTCTGTAGGGGAGGAGGAAGGAAAAGGATCGGGACTGGGTGGGAAGAACACGAGGGACGATGGTGATGGTGCACACGTGAACTGGTGGTGAGTATTATGAGGGGAATATACCTGAGAGGACAAAGCATACATTGTACAAAAAAGAATGGTGTAAAAAATATATACATACATATATATACATATATATGTATATATAATTCATATACATATTTATGTATATATAATTCATATATATATATATATATATAATTCTACTGTTTAATGTTGTCTTTCAAGGGTCTACCTATGCTTGATATCAATGATTTAAAAGAAAACCTCTCTATTTATGCATACAGACCTGGGGTACAGGCCAGAGGTGCAGGGGCAGTGAGAAGATTCACTGGAGAGAGAGTGGGGAACAGAACAGGCCGAATCACAAAGTACACTGCTGAGGGGAGCAGTGGGTGGGTCAGGAGAGGTCTGCCATGCCATGTGGGTCAACTCCGGGGCTGGGGATCAAACTCATGCTGAAGAGGCTTTAGCTTCTCAGTGCTGTGCTTTAACCCACTGCGCCACCAGGGAGGGCCCTGATTTCAATGATTTTTTAAAAACTCATTCTTTGGGAAATATACAGACATCAAAAAATCAATGGCAGTAATATTGGTATCTTATCTATAGTGTTCCAATCATTCCAGTGTGCCTTTGCAGGAAAGAGTGGTGTTATTTTTCTAGAATTAGTAGATCCATTTCAAAAAAATAACAAAGGAAGACCCAATACCAACAAAAACTGTTTTACCTTCTCATTTATGTAACAGAGCATTTATCTAGCCACCTACTACACAACTGTCCATCCACCTGTCCATCTTCCTACCCATCTATACTTCCATGTAGACATTTGTTCTTGATACAAGACAGAGAGATAAAAAGAAGACTAAGAGGAGAGTTTAATCTATAGCCTGGAGTGAGGATCCTTAAAGAGAAATTAACAATTTCACCATTCATCACTATACTCAGGTAAGAATCAAGAGAGATGGTGCAGGGTAAGTATGGCAGGTGAGGGAAGCCTTCCAGAGACTGCTTAAGGGTTACACAAAACCACTACTACAGCTGTTAAATGGGTTTGTGACTCAGAAATGATTTGTGCCTTACAACTGTGTGTTTTTTTTTTTTTTGGTAAAGATTTATTTATGCATACAAGAACTAGGGTACAGGAAGGAATTGCGGGAGTTTAGAGAATTCACCAGAGCAAGATTTGGGAACAGAACAGGCAGATCTACTGAAGTACACTGCTGAGGGTCAGGAGAGATCTGCGGCGCCATGTGGGTCACTTCCCAGGTCGGGAATCGAAGTCATGCTACAGTAGCTGTAGATTGCTTCATAGTGCTGTGCTTTAACCCATTGCGCCATCAGGGAGGCCCAAAACTGTGGTGTTTTTAATATCAGTTTTCCTTGTACTCTTCTTTGTTACAGAATTTTTCATTAATCAATAGTAATGTAGCTGCTGTGGCAAAAATGACACATACACAAAAAACTGCCAAATCAGAACCCAAACCTCAGGAGTCGATAAATAATTTTCTAAAAATTAGCATCACTAGATCTATTCTGATAAGCTCTTGGAGATTTTTTTTTTCCAGATACAAGCATTTCTAAAAATCACCTGACAATAAAATATCTTTGGGTACCCAAATGAACATTTTACCTCTCTTCCCAGTAACTACGATGGTTAATTCTGATGCAGTTTTTTCACTCCTAGAGGTTTTATACTTTTCTGCAAGCATCTGCCAGATCAAAAATCTTGCTTACAAGTTGTCCTAGCAATCATTTTATACATATTTAACTACCTAACCTGGAAATTAATGATGCCAAACTTCACAACACCCAGAGAACTGTCAGTGATAGAGATAGAGATAAGCCTGTAGAGTATTATGGAGCCAACATTAAAGAACATGTTGAAAGTACATTAAACATTTAAGACCCCACCACTCTGAGATTGAAAGATTGTGCTTTTACCTGTTAAAGGATTTTGTTTTTCCTGGTGGTCTCCTCCTTGCCCATTAGAGGGAGCCTCCTGCTGTTCTAGATATTACCCAGGTCTGTGGATCTCAGGAATCATGGACCTGGGATGCGAAAGGAACTGAGTCAAAGACTTGAGCGGGGGACTGAGCTCTAGGCTTCAGTGTCAATCTTCATTTTCCCAGAGTCTTTCTTTGCAGCTTTTCAATATTAAACAATACAGAAAACATTCTAAACATGACATAAAGCTAACATTTCATCACAGATCTTGTTTTGACCTTTTGCTAATTATCTATGAAAACTGTGACATTGAATCATGCAGGCAGTGCTCCTAATTAAGAAAGTTATACATTATCAAGTTAAGGTATGCATTGTAAAGGTAAGGATCAAAGTTACACATTATAAAGTTTTTCCAGGAACATGAACCACCTCTGCCCAGACCAGGAAGGTCATTCCTTGTGTCCCGATGAGGAGTCTAAGGAGGACAAAAAGAGTTGGCATAAGGTTTATTCTGGGAGGTCTGGCCAATGGTCATGTAACCTCGAGGCCCATTTTTGGGTGCTCTTTGTGTGAGTGTGTTCTGCACCCTGGTCATTGTGACCTTGCCATATTCCACAGGTGCACCTGGCTATGATTCCATTGTTTCTCCACACAGGTCTTTGTTATAAATGATCCTGTGGAAACCCAGCCCCTCTAGAAGGTTCTATTGGAGGGAAAATTGGTCTGTCAGGTTTGGCTTTGAATATACAACTCAGACTCTTAAAAGCATTTTGTTTGGATAAAGCACATTCTATTACCTGAAAAGTGTCTCAAAGTGAAAAGTGGGTTAAAATTTTAAAATCTGATTTGGCACCATCTTAAGTAAGTACTAGTCAAATTCCTTGTCCAAGTTGGAGGAATGTCAGCCTTTCTGAGATGTGTTTCTCTACTCAGTTCTTCATAGCAATGAGAGGAAGAGAGAGATTCCCCCAATCAGCTACTTCAGTGACTGAGTAACTGGCTTCTTACTATTCAGTAATAGATATTTCACTGATATATATCCACATGTATAAGAATAAAGATACTCTTGCAAGTTAATCCAATTTATGTTCTAGATTTGGTAAAACGCAGACAACTGTATGTCAACTTTTGAAAAATTTCCTGACATTCCCCAAAATGTTATGAGTATTATGGACACAAGGAGCTTCTTTTCCTTTAGTCTATAGGAAAAGACTTCTTTAATACTTCCTGAGATCTTCTCAATTTTTTTTTTTTTTTTGCTCACTTAAAACATGAAGGTCAAGTAAAGCCCAAGTTGCTGGGCATTTCGGTATTGATAGCATGATGGCATGAAATCTCCTGAATTGCAAGCCTGACCTCCCCATGTGAAGAAGAGCCCCATGAACAGCTCTGCATAAGGCCACAGCCCTTCCGCCTCTTGGAGACTGAGGGCAAAAGACCATTGCTGGCTCTCAAGACACCATCTTCTCCTGCCACGTGCTCTTGTGCCTGTCATGTAAATTATTTTTGTTTTGAGAACTAAAAAAACCTGCTTGTCGTAAAACGTTGGGAGGGTCAATCGCGACCATTCCATCTGTGAATGGAGTGTGGGTTTCTATTGTAGGCGCATTAGGAAGCCAACATGACAGGCAGGGCTTCCCTCTCATGAACTGAGTGGGTAGAGCAAAGATGAGTCCTGAAATGTCTAGGAGAGGCAGAAACATCAGAGGAAGTGAGAAGACCTGGGGGAAGCCAAGTAGGCCAGCCCTGTGCTTGTACCTATTGTCGGGGGGCTTAGATAGCAAGTGAGGGGACAGTGGGGGGACTCACTCTGATTATGGTGTATGAGACCCTGTAAGGACAGTTGGGCCTGGACAAGGGCTGAGGGGGCCCCGCACTCTGGGCAGGAGGGTTGCTGCTGGGAAGTGTGTAGGCAGCAGTTTCTCTTGGTACAAGTAGAGGAGACAGCCTGGAACAGGCTCAGACCTCTGCCTCTCCCTAGAAGCCAAGATGTCTTTCCCTAATCCCTACTGGCCTTGCCTAGCTTGAGGGAGCTGGGAGGGAAGAGTGGAAAGAATGATTAAGCGAGCTCTGTGGAGGTTTTGAAAACCTGAGGCATTTATCAAAAGAACATGCCAGGTGACTGGAGCTGAGCAAAGGGAAAGTGAGCATTGGGTGTTCTCCTCACCAAGGTGCCTCAGCAGCAGAACCCTCCAGTAGGTCCCCGCTGCCTCTTGGGCAGAGGGCGGTGAAGACCTGGAAGCCACTGAGTCATCTTGTTTATAGTTTATGTTCCATGCAGAATGGGTGTGGGTTGTTGTGCTGGCCTTCTAAACCTATACTCCAAGAAAGCAAGATTACATTTAATTTATCTCTGCCAGTAACTGGGGCCCTCATCATTTTTGCAAGTCATACAGCAGCTCAGGATCACTTTGTATGCAGCCTCTGATGCTGTGATATTCAGTGACTGCAGCCTTGACCGCCCATTGGTCAGGAAGCTGATCTGTGAGAGTAAATATTTACTTCTGTGAGCATTTGCGGCTCAAACACTACTGTGGGCATTTGAAGAATCCAGAGGGGTGGCTTTTGTTTCTGGGGAGTTGGCCTCCCCACTTTCAAACTAGTTCCACCATGGCCTCGGTGACCTGTGGCAGCCCCCTCCATCTTTCTGTGCTCCAGCATTACCATATGTACCCCCGGGAACAAAATGGCTACCTAGGCTTGTGATCCTCAAGACTTAACATGCATCAAGTATACTGAAGAGCCTGTGAAAGCAAACTGCTGAGGCCCAGCTCAAGTGCTGACTCAGTAGGCCTCAGCCTAAGAATTCTAACAAACTCAGGTGATGCCGGGGCTACAGGGCCAGGGACCACACTCTGAAAAGTGACATCACCCCTAGGATCCTGTTAGTGTCACTGGAGAATTGCTGTAAAACCACATGGGAAGCATCTAAATAGCTTAGCTGATGCTGTAGCTGTCAGCATCATGGTTATTAGTGAGAAACACATAGTCATGTGTTAGAACTTCGCCCTTCGCCCTTTCTAATGAATGGGAACTGGGTACTTCCTGTCTGCTCATCACGCAGCTCTATCCTCCGTCAGGCCTCAGGCATCATGTGCCTGGACCCCTCTGGCTGCTAGCCATGGGGCTGTTATTTAACTTTCTTCTTGCCCACACCTTGTCTCTCCAACAGTCTCGGTGTCATGCACAAGTTTTCTTTGTGTCTCCTGAAGCCCTCAGCATAATGCCTTGTATGCAGTAGCAACTAAGTCCCAGTCTTTGCTGCTGGGTGGAATTCTAGGTGTCATCTGCTCCAAACTATCCCAATCCTTCCAGAGCTTACACACAGGTCCTGAAAAACCCTGGGAGTTCAGATTAAGGCGATCTGGGCGATGCGCAGATGAAGCATTTTAACACGCATGTCTAAGGCTCTGAAGCAGGTGTTCTCTGGCCATCTCGACAGAAATACCGTCTTGTTCAGTGCTTTGCAACAGCCCCATGGGGCTCATTAAAAGCAGTGGATTCAGTCGGGATCAGAATATATAAAAGAATAAGTGGAAGAGATCAGAAAGAAAAAGGGGCATTGGACCAAGGAGGACAAGAGAGGGAAGAGGAGAACAGGGGAGAAGAAAAGAAGAGATGGGAAAAGAAAGGGAGGGAAGGGGGTGGGCAAGAATGTATCACCTATGGAAATGGCAAGCGAGGTCCTGAATAATTCAGTTTCCAGTGTTCATGTTCTGTACCGACTTCCCGCATAAAATGCACTTAGGGGTCATGGTCACATGCTCTGATGGCTGGCCCCCAGCACCATTCCTACTGACCAGAAGGAACAGCATCAGTGTGGCCGTGGTTCTGACACCCACTAGCTCCCACAGTAGGGAGCCCGCCTACCTGTTTTCCTTTCCAGCCAGTCGTGAAAGCTCTACCCCACTTTCACAAGTCCGAGCAGGAGCAGCATCCTAGATAGGCTGAGGTCTGTCTCATCAGCTAAAGAGGGGGCTGCAGAGGGTCAGAGTAGGGGAGCCCTATGTTGTGAGAAGGGTGGAGATCCAGCATCCAGAGAGCCCTTGATTAGAAATTTCAGGGCGAGACTGTGGGAGGCGGGAGGGGTGGGGCTGTGCTGGGTTCCAGTCTCTTGTGTTGTGTTTTCAGCATGGACAGCTGCAGCACTTCCTCCCTGAGGGACTCTCTGTCTCCCAACAATCACCCACATTCTAGCCTCAGCTCTCCTTTGCATAATGATGCACACCTGAAACTTACACTTGCATGTTCACATGCAATGTTACTTGGATACAAAAGTTTAAAAAAATCCTACGTTACAATAAATTTAATTGACTGATCAAATCACCTGCTGTGATTGTCCTTAATTTCCTTTGCTGATGAACAATAGGGAGGATTTTAGGCTAGAAATAGTAATAATGTTCAAGTAGCTGGAGGCCACCCTACTGACTCATATACAAACGCCCCGAGTTTCTTCATGAATTTTAATGTTGTAGTTCTCCATCAGTGTCCTGGTTGATTGACGTACCTGGCTCCCTCTCAGAGGTCCTGGGAAAGGTCCTGCACTGGTGACCTAGCTTTCAGTGAAGGATCTTGCCGGGGCTCCTTTGGCGCATTCTGCAGCGCTGCATGTCAGCAATACTTGCCAGGTATCTGGGTATTTCTGTGCTAGGTACTAGGACCACAGAAATGCAAAGGTAGGATGCCTCCTTCCACAGGAAGCCGGTGGTCTAGGAGGGAGACTAGTTTGCAACCAGTCATTTGAGGGAGCATGAGATGTTTACAAGTCTGCACAAGGTCCTGGGAGCGAGAGATGGTCCCTGGCAAGTGGGAACAGCTGACAAATTCCGGCGCTCACAGTGCTGACTCGGTAGGGCACGTAGGCTCTCGCGAGATCTCCTAGGGGCGGTACCTGGGCAGGGTTGTACGTCTAACTGGTACTGGGGAGTAGCAAACCGCCTATGCTCGGAAGTTGGCCTTGAAAGAGCTCTCAGTGAGAACCAGAGACTTGCCTACGGACTAAAACCTCCTCGGGTTTAGTACAGGAATTTTGCAATTCTCTGCAGTAGTTTCTGCTTGTTAAGAGTCAAGGGTATGTCCCAGGGGGCTGAATTTGCTTGAACATCCTTCAGCAGAGTGGGAGCGTCTATACAACTTGATCAGAAAAGCATAGGATGAATCAGGCCTCGGTGTCACCCCAATCCTAGCATGTCTCTACTCCAGAGGCCCCCAGAAATGGGGAGAAGAACTGATGCCACATCTTCTGCTAATACCTTTCTTGGCTCTCAGTTTTGCCCTCACTCCCTACATTTCTGCTTCCTTTTCTTTCAGAGCAGTGACTCAGTGGGCAGGTAGTGCATGACCTCTGGATACTCTGCCTAGAAATGTGGCCACATTTTGAATTGGTCCTTTCAGCATAGGAGCATTCTTTTACTACCTGGATATCACAGTGGCTTCCCCCCCCCCCCAGTCTTGTTGACCAGGTAAAGGTAATCC